TTATTAAATATTTTAAATAATTTTTAATAATTTAAATCATAATTATTATTTTAATATAATTTAATATGTGGCAATATTTTAATTCAATAAAATTTCAAGATTTTAAATGTTAAATAACATTAAAGTATATATAAAAATAATTTGCTATTACACTCTTAGATTAATGTCTTTACTAGTTTTTTTTTTTTTAACAATTCACTTTAGTGTTATTGATATTTTTGAATTCAAACACATATCTTACAATCAATTTTAATTTCATCATTATAATAATTAATTATAATTAATCTTACATCTGCCGTTATTTTTAATTTCATTGAAATTAATCTTATCGGTTATTTAAAAAATAAAATTTTAGATTTCGCTTAATAAAAATAATAATAAAGAATGATGATAAAAAATTTATTAATTTAATATTCAATTCTAAAACAAAAAGAAATTATGAATTAATAAAATTTTCACCTTCATTTATTTTCATGATTGCTACCAAGCAAAATCTTAATCTTTGGATTGTTCGTGCAAGCGTGTAATCAGACCTTTTAAAGCTAAATTTGGCTATCATTGTTAGTGTTGGAGCAATAAGTCGTCGTCTGTCAGATGAAAAGATAAAAAAAACCAAGGATTAAGGGAAATTGCAATTTTCTTGTTAATAATAAATAAAATTACTTTTTCTTTCTTTAACACATAGTAATATATTAGTTCGGAGACTCAATCGCTAAATATAAAAATTTAATAATAATAAAAAATAAGATGAGTCATCACTAATTTTTTTTAAGATGTGATTGATCATCTAAATTTTTTTTTTAATAAAACAATAAAGCGGGTTTAAAACTTTATTAAAAAGATAATTTTAATTTATGAAAATAGATTGAGTTCGGGAGTTGGTTACGCGTGGAGAAGAATTAATACCCATATAACTTTCACAAAATTGATGCTCTATTTGTAATTCTGGATAAAAATAATTTTTTTTATAAAATTTAATTATAATTTCTTTTGTTTTTAAGAAATAAAATTAGTTTTAAAATATCTTTATTTAGGAATATTATAAAAATCTTCAAATTAAAAAAATACTTTGAAAAAATCCAACATAAAAATAAAATTCAAAGATAGATTTTTCATTTAAGATTTATCATAACAGTCCTTCTAAAATAATAAAATAATATTTTTTGTAGATGATAATGATTGATGACTTTTCAACATCTAGATAAAGTATCAACAATTATATTTCACGGAATGCTATTTTAATTTTATTTGTTCAAAGCTAAAAATTAAAAAAAAACTTTTATGCAGTAAAAAAATATATAATTAATATTAAACATCAACAAACATATATATGAATTATGAATGTACACATTATTCTAAAAAAGAGTTATATATAGATGATGATAAAATATGAATTTAAGAATCGAGTTTTCAAATATAAAGAGACCATTTGGACTCTCCAACATCTAGATAGAGTTTATGTGTGATTTTTTATATTTATAATCATGTCCTATTATTTTTATTATTTTTATATTTGTTATTTTAACAAACATTTTTTTTTAAGTTGTGAAAAATGTATGAAAATTCTTAATGAAATAAAATTTCCTAAATATTTCAACATTTACGTAGCATTCGGGAATATATTACTTCATAAAAAGTTTTCATGCAAATCCTTAAAATTTTAAAACGAGTTTAAGGTTTTGGGTTAAAATTTTAAGAATTTACGAACTTCTCTAAAAATATCTAATATTTAAGTAGACTTTCCAAGCAAATTCGTTTTTATAACTTCCAAAAATTAATTAAATTTTTTTTATATATATATTTTTTTGCATAAAATTTATTATTACTTTTTTGTTGTTGTATCAAGCTAGAATATATAGGGTATAAAATTGCATATATATATATATATATAAATGATAACATAAAATATTAATCATGAAGTTAACAAACAAAACATTAAACCAAGAAATTATAATGCGTGAGGTTCAAACTTAGTTACTAGAATAACATCAAAGAAATAAGTGCAAGCCTGTATGTAATACGCATGGGACTAATCCGAAACAAATATATTCAGCCCCTACTCCTATGCTTTAAAGCTATCCTATATTAATAAATAAGAAATAAAGAGAAAAAAAGAAAATAAAAAACCTTTAGACATAGATTCTATTTATGTCACCTTTTCATTCTATTTTGGATTAGAGACTACAAAAAAGAAGAAAAACTACCAATATATTAGCTTTCTAACGCCTAGATGTCATTATTACTTGCAAATTTCTTAAAATTTCCAAGTCTTTGGACCCATGATTTGATTTAAAAGGGAACTCTCTACAACCTCAAACTTAGAAGAAAATGGACTCAATAGGTGAACTTCCAAGGCGATGAAAAGGACGAAAGCTAGATTTGAAACTTCTCTTTTCTTTTTTTTTTTGTTATCTTTACAGCATCTTGGGTTCTCATATACTTTCATGAAGCTTTCATTATCAACACAAAGAACTGGAAAACTAGAAAACAAGCACTTAAAAAATTTTGAACCTTCATGAGCAGTAAAATAACATAATTGATCCTAAGAAGAATAGTTTTTCCTTCTCCTTTTTAGTTGTTCATTTCTTTTTGAACTGAAACCCCTTTCAAACCATTCCTTTGAACAAAAAAAAAAAGCATGTAGTAAGAGTAAAACCAACAAACTAGTAAAAGGGAAAGTTTGAGGTTTTTGTTAATGAGTTGTGCAGAAAATCGAATAACAGATATAAAATGATAAAACTACAAGCTCCCCCTAACAAGCAAGGTAGCAAGTATGCAAATGAAGGAACTCTAAGCCTATGCATACATGTATCGTAAGCGAAAAAAGAAAGAGCAACATATACCAAATAGGATCTATCTATAAATCTCTGCGCTTGGATTACCTGTAACAATCCAGAAATGGAAAGAAAACCCATTTTATATTCCTTTTTTTTTTTTGCTTAAAAAAGCCATCATCTTTGCAAAGAAATGTTTTTTTTTTTCCTTTTTTATGAATCAAAACTGCAGCATTAACCCTTCGAAGATGATAAGTTTGAATCAAACTAAAAACTACCTCGAAGATGAGATTTTGATGTTTTAAAAAACTTTTGGAACCTTTGAAACTGTCTTATGTTTCATTTTCTTAAAAGTAATAAGAAAATGATAAATAGAAAGGATAATTTTTTTTTTTACTTTCACCCCTAAACCTTGCAAATGACAAACCCATGCAACAAGCTTTGGTTATTTATTTTTTTTTATTTTTTTATTTTTGGTTTCATTTCAAAATAGTAGTTAATCAACCCATTGTATGAACGGCATGAACTAGGTGCAGGACTTAGACCAAAACCTTAAGCTTCTACAAACAGATCTTTACGGATAGCAAACAAGAAAATAAATAAGAAATAAACTAACCCTAAACCTTCCCTAGATGGATTACTATTCTCTTTAGTTTTGAAATATTACCTTCAGTCTTAAAAACTTTCTTTCCCATTCTTTTTCATGTTAAATCAGGGAAATTTATTTTAGAAAACATTGTTTAGAAAACTTGAAAGCAAAGATGGTCTATCATCGAAAGTTATAGGTTTTTTATACAAGTTTTTCTTTTTTCTAAAAACAACATGTCTATCTACCTTATTCCAATTAGTGTTGATTATGCAAACAACGTGAGAACTCTAAACTTTACATGAAAAATAAGTATAAGCTAGGTAAGAAAAGTAATGGCTTTACCTTTTCTTTAGATGGCAGCAAGGTTTTTTTTTTTTTTTTCCTTTCGATAGGTTTCCTACCGTCATTCGTTTTCTTCTTGTTTTTTTTTTTTTCTATTTCTTTTTCTCTTTTTTTTTTCTTTTCAACTCCCTTTTTCTCTTTTTTTTTTTGCCTTCTCCTCCAAAAAACCTTCTTTTTTTTTTTTTTCAGGAGCCCCTCTTTTTCTTGTAAAGAAGAAAGTCACTAAAATATTTTTGCAAGATTGAATATAGGCTTTTGGATCAAATCTCATCCAAAGGCCAAAGTTCTCCATTTTTTATTTCAAAGAGCAATTTTTAGCCATTGGATCAAGATTCAATATGACATCTACTGGTCTACATTATTCATTGTAAATGTTGGATTTTTCTAGCCCTAAACCAAATGAAAAGACCATTTTACTTTTAGTACAAAGTTTTTTGGTATTTAGGTCATTTTCTTAGAAATCAATATTTTCATGCTCATTTTTAAGATTTTAAAGGATCAAAAATCATGAAATATTATAAAAGTGAGATCTAAAAAGTTTCATAAAAAAAAATCGATCTCAAGAAAGTCAAATTACAAAATTTTCCTAAAATATATTTTAGTAATTTTGTACTTCTTCAAGTGTAATAAACATTTTTAATGTTTTAATAATCATCTATTTTAAATTTAACCATATTGATTTCAATTCGATTATGAATTTTAAGAATTGATTTGAGTTTTATTCATTTTGATTAAGTTTTGTATAATTTTGATTTTGTTTGGTTAATTTTAATTTTATTGATCAAATTTGACTGAATTTGATCTGAGTTGATTTTAGAATTTAATCGCTTCATTTATTCTTTATTTTCATATATACACATGGAAAGGTAATTTATATATAAATTTCATGCAAAAGAGTTTGACAGCAATCTAATGGATCATTTTTTTTGATTTATTATAAGTTTAACTATCTATATATTATATAGGCTTTTAAAATAGATTTTTTTATAGGCTTTAAATGAGTTTTGTTTAAGTTTATAATTAAGTCTCTAAATGATTTATAGAACAATCCTAAATTAATAATTTCGGCCCATATTCATAAATAAACTCGGATCTATCGTATTAAAAAAAAAATTTCGCATAAAATTCAATATCTAAAAAAAATAGTTTTACGGTAACAAACACTCATTATTTTTCAAGTTACCGCTCTGATTTGAAGTTCTCCCAATAACTTTCATTGGGTAATCATTGTCGGGATTCGTGCAACAAACCCAATAGATAAAATCCTAAAATATTGTTAAGATGTGAAACAAATTCTGAAATCATTTTTAAAGAGTTGCAACAGAGGCAAAAGGGGGTGATTTTAATGTTAGTTCTTTACTCTTTACTACACTCGGTAACAAAAAAACAAAAAATCGCACTTTTATTTATTTTACTGAATAAACAGAACCGTAATAAAGTTCAAAGCATTATTGCATCAGACACGACATAAAATTCATTTGATTCATGTCAGTGATTCTGTCCCCTTATCCAAAAACAGTGTTTTTATCACTTACCGAACGAAACCAAGTAGATAATTTCGACCCCGTAAACACTGCCATCATCTCATCCATTTTCTCTCCTCACAACGAAATTATGGCTGACACTCCAATCAGATTCGGAATCATTGGCTGCGCCGAGATAGCTCGCAAAGTATCCCGGGCCATACAACTTGCTCCGAACGCCTCTCTATCCGCCGTCGCCAGCCGCTCCATCGTGAAAGCTGCCAATTTCGCCAAGGCCAATGGGTTCCCACCTGAAGCCAAGATCTACGGCTCCTACGAGTCCCTCTTAGACGACCCTGACATCGACGCCGTTTATTTGCCCTTACCCACTAGCCTCCATCTCAAATGGGCTGTATTGACGGTTCAGAAAAAGAAGCATCTGCTGACGGAGAAGCCCGTGGCATTGAACGTGGATGAGTTTGATGAGATTTTAAAGGCTTGCGAAGAAAATGGGGTTCAGATTATGGATGGGACCATGTGGGTGCATCATCCTAGGACCCAGAAAATGAAGGAGTTTTTAAACGATAAGGAGCGGTTTGGTCTGCTTAAAACGGTAAATATTTTACTGGGTTTCAGCTCATTTTCAAGGTTTTTCTTTTGTTATATAGCTTACCAGTTTCTTCCCAGCCGATCGGAGAAAGGTTTAAGTTAAAGCTTATTTTATGCAGGAAATAAATGGGAAAAGTAATTGTTGGAACAGAACTGGAGACCAACATACTGATTGATTTTTTTTTTTTTTGTTATATAAATTTTATTTTGAGCTAGAGTTTGATGTTACCTTTTAGTAATGCCTCATCTTTGTAAATTAGGCAATGGAATGGCGTCAACCTCTTAAATTTCGCATCTGTGTATGCAGTAGTATTATTTATCTTTTTGAAATTAGCAACTTGCTTTACTCGAGCATTTAGTGCACTAAACCTTTGACTGGAATATATTCACTGTCTGTGTTTGGGAGAGGGAGTTATCCTGCGTTCCTGTTGATCCTGATTCCAGAACCTAGTGCTTTCCTGAACCTTTTCAGCTGATGCTTACGGCTTATTTATTGTTAAAACATGTGGCATATTGGTGCTTGATGAATCAGAACCTAGAACCTTGTTGGACCATGATTCACTTATTGGCATGGCAAATCTTGTGTTAGTGGTTAAGTTGTAAATTTAGAACCTATAGAGTATAGACTAATGTACGTAAGATGCTATAGGAGGATTGCACTTCACTGAGAAAAGTGTATTGTGTCATGTGTATTGAGCGAGGAGCCAGGAACTTATATTAATTAAAATGTGTGGTGTGACATGTACGTTTATATTAATTAAAATAAAAATGGCGGAGAGATTGAAAATAGTATTGATAGTGAGATTAATTATTGTATCAGTAAATTTAAGTATTGTAATAATAAAATTAAAATTAATGGTAAGATATCTGTTTGGTTACGAATATAATAATAACAGATGCATGAAATATAGTGAAAGAAAATGATCATTATGGATATTAAATTAAAATTGGTACATAATGAATTTTATAATATATTTGGTATTTATAAAGTTAACAAATAATTGAATATTAATAAAATATTTTTTCTATAATTATATATCTATTTTTATTTATTATGTAATTATTTTATTTAATAAATAAGTTGATTGTATATTTTTTAAAAATTGAAAATAAAATATTTACACTAATTTGATGATAATTTATAAGATACTTATTATTTTTATATCTAAATAATAATTATTTTTAATTCAAAATAAAGTTTAAAAATAAAAGAACGAACAAAATGAGAAAAAAAAAGAAGCTTTAAGTGCACTATAGTTTCAAAAGTTTAGAAAAAAAAAATTAAAGCAGGTTCTTTTGTGAGACTTTTACTGATAAATTTGATTTGGTTTGAATAATTCAGGACCTGAGCTAGACTGTGGAAAGATGTAGTTCATGGTAAAAGCCTGTTTCAGATAAACTTGCAGTGATATATTTAATTATCTCAATCCCTCCTTTGTTATTGATGTTACTCCAAAGATTGATATCCATCGACAAAGTATGCCAGAATGAGGCATAAATATTGGTAAAATGCCATATCAGGTGCTTTTAGAAGAGAGACGGAGAGAGAGAGGGTGAGGTGTGTGCCTCTGGTCTATTCATAAACTTTAGTTTGTTCAGAATGTTATCACAGCAGTCCATGCTTTTATGGTAAGACGGTAAAAAGATTGTTCCCATATAAATGGTATGCTGAGGGTTGTGATTAAGTTGATATGAAAAAAAAAAAAATGATTAAGCTATGTATTTTTAACAGAGAATGACAGCATCGGTTAATAACCTTTGGCTTCCTCAGGTATCCAGCTGCTTCACATTTTTGGCTGATCCGAATTTTCTCAAGAATGACATTCGTGTGATGCCAGATCTTGATGCTCTTGGTGCTCTCGGTGATGCTGGCTGGTATGGTGTCCGGTCAATCTTGTGGGCAGCTGACTATGAGCTACCCAAGACTGTTACAGCCTTGCGAAGTCCTGTTCTCAATGAAGCAGGGGTAATACTAGATTGTGGGGCTTCACTACAATGGGAAGATGGCAAAACTGCAACCTTCCATTGCTCTTTCCTATCAAATTTGACAATGAATCTCAGTGCCATAGGAACATGTGGAACTTTGCATCTCACCGATTTCGTCATTCCTTATCAGGAGCATGAGGCCGCTTATATTACATCTGCAAAACCTAGATTTAATGAACTTGTAACAGGATGGGTGCCACTTCCAAGTGAGCATATTGTCACCGTAGATCTACCCCAGGAAGTGTGCATGGTGAGAGAGTTTGCTGCCTTGGTTGGAAATATTAAAAAAAATGGTGCGCAGCCAGATAAAAAGTGGCCGACAATTAGCAGGAAGACACAATTGGTTCTGGATGCGGTCAAGGCATCCATTGAAAAAGGTTTTGAGGCTGTTGAAATTGTGAGTTAATGTGTTTCATCATTTGCAGAATTATTTATGCATAATCTGTTTTTCTTGGGTGGACATGTTTTGGGACTGTTGTGCAGTGCTTTTCTTTCTAGCATCAAATGTGAACTCCATCTATCCAGTCCAGTGGGTTACTCCAAACTTAATTTTTTTATTTTGGTTGAATAAGAAATCGGAGGATGACCTGCCATGTTGCTCTTGTGGATTTCGGCAGCTTCCTTGTTTTTTCTCTCTCAAATTTAATCAAGGCTAACATGCAATATAATGCTTAACAAGTAATGAAGTGTAAGCTAATATCATTCCCAGGGAGATTTGTTGTGTATTAAAATTGTGTAAATCTATTTCTATTTAAACAATCGAAGACGAATTAAGATGAAATATAAATTTAATAGTATTAACAAAAACAAATTTAAAAACAAAATTTGAAGGTAATAAGTAAATAAAGAAAAATTCTAAAGTAATTAAATTTTAAGATTTCCATTTCACTCCACCAATTTATTTGAATAACTCTCGTATTTAAAGTTGACATCGGGTCGGATTCGGAGTGGGTTTTGCTCGCCCCGAACCCAGTCTAATTTTATGTGTTATTAAATCTGAATCCGATTCTACTTGAATTTTTTTTGCTTTTTCATATTCGAACCTGAATCCGACTCGATCCGATACTATATAAACAGTATTCGATTAGATTCGAACCGAAATTAATAAATATTATTTTCTTAAATATAAATATTTAAAAATATCATTATATAAATATATATAAATAAAAAATAATTAATTAATTAAAAAATAATTTTTTATATAATATCGGGTCGGGTCAGGTTTGCCTAAAATTCGAACCCGACCCGATCTCGATTGTTTCTTAACTTTATCTAACTCGACTCAAAACTCGAATTTCAAAAATAAAAATCGATCTCATAAGATCGGGTCGAGAGTGAGATTACCGACTTTACTCTTATTTTTATAAAGAGGGAGTGGTTTATTTTTGACCAAATTCGACGTCGATAGGCATTTTCATCTAGATCGACGACCAAATTCCACATCGACAAGCCTCCCCCCTCCCCTCCTCTCCTCTATCCTTTCCCTCCTCCTACCATTTTTTTTTTTTTGAGTTGACTATCATTTTCTTGTTAATAATAAACAAAATGTGCCTCTGACTTCTCCTCTTTCTCCTTACTTACTTCTCTCTTTTTTTTTTAAATATTTTTAGCATTTTATATTGCAAAATTGTATTTTTTTAATTTAAAAAATGATTTAAGAAAAAAAATTGTTAAATTTTTTCAAAAATAAAGTTTTAAAATAAAATTTAGAATTTTCATTTATGTAAAAGATATAATCTTTTCCTCATTTACTTTTTTTTTTGAATTTTAAAAAATTTTCTTTGGGATTTTTTCCAAATACCAAAATTCAAAACAAAATTAAAAACTGACGTGGATTTTTTAATCATGTGTTAGAATTTTCATTGGATATTTCAAAGCCACGTTACTATAATTTAGTAGTTGAAATTTTAGGTCATTTCTACCGCGTTATCCTTACATATGTACATTTTTTTTTTGTGTCATCATGATATGTGACATCCAGCCGTGTTAGATAACGACAATTAACTTGTTAATGCAATTGAATTTTTTTTATAGTTTAAAGTTATATTTAAGAAAAATAAAAGATGACGGATTGATTTATATGAAATTAAAAATTAAAGGTTTAAATTCATTTTACATTGAAGTTGACGGGGATATTTAAAAATTAACTCACATTGACCATTTTTTTTTGGGAGCTTTTATTTGCATCTCCATAAATGTTCTCCCCTTTTTTTTTTGTTAAATTATCTTTAAGTAAAATTATTTAATTATCTTTTTTTATTTCAATTTTAAAAATTTTTGAATATATGTGTCCGATAAATTTTATAATTTATCAAATATTCACACCCGGTAACACATGTAATTAATTTTTTAAAAAACCAATATTTGTTTATTTAGCATTTGTTAAAAAAGTTACATTTATGGAACATTTGATTCGTGAATTCTTATATTTTGAGAGGAAAAATAAATTTTAAAAAAATGATATTGAAAAGGAATGTATGATTCATAGGTTTGTTGACTTAAAAGAATGCATGATTTTTATTTTTTGTTAAAAAGAATATAAAATTATCTAATAAAATCTTTTACTATATCGTTCTTAATAACATGTAACAATTCTAATATTGACATGTGAATAATACATTATCTTTATTGAAACTAAAGAATTCTGAAAAGTAATTTTTTTTCATATTTTCAATAAATATAATCTTGCAATCTTAATTACTATCATAATATTGATTGTCTTAATGTAGAGAAAATACACGAATAAACTTTTATGGTAAGGTTTACATGGGGTTAGAAGGGGATGGTAAATCCTTTGCTATTAGAACAAATTTTATACATAATAATCTTAAGTAAAAAAATAAATCTTAAATGAAATTCGAAACCCTTAACTCTATATGAAGCCCCAAAACCTTATATAAAACCCTAAACCTTAGGTGGAACCTAAAACCTTTAATGAAACCCTAAACCTTAAACAAAACTCCAAAGCCCTAGTTGAAACCCTAAATAAAACCTTAAAACTTTAAGTCTACCTAAAACCCTAAAACCACCATAAAGTTTAAAGATTTGTGTAAAGACTTCACATGAAGTAATCTATTCTCAAATGTCGCCTAGATGATGAAGTATTTAGAAAATTTTATTTTATTAAGAATTTTCATATAATTTCATATTTTAAAATAATAAAATTAAATAAAAAATAAAAATAAAATGGTATCTTAAATATAAATAGTCATATTCAAGCTCTGTCCGGAGGTTGGAGAGTCCAAGTAGTCTCTTTATATTTAAGAACCTAATTCCTAAATTCATGTCTTATCATCATTTGTATATATCTCATTTTTAAATTAATGTTTGCATTCATTATGCATATATATATTTGTTTTAATTATAGATATTTATTGTTAATTATAGTATCCCTTATTTTTACTGCATAATAAGTTCTTTAAACAATTGGTTTCAAAGAAATAAAGTGAAATAACATTTTGAGGAAGATAATTTTTGATACTCTATCTAGATGTTGAAGAGCTATTAACAATTATCATTTGCCGAGAATTTTATTTTGATTTTTAAAGGAATTTATGGTGAATCTTGGACGAAAAAGATTACCTTTGAATTCTACCTATATGTTGAAGAATTATAAGATATTTTTTTAATTTAAAAATTTTCACAATATTCCTAAATATAGATTTTTAATTGATTTTCTTCCTAAAAAATGAAAGGAATTATTATTAACTTTCAAAATTAAACCATTTTTATCCAAACCTATAGATAACGCATGATTACTTGGTACCAATTTTATGGGTGCCATGGGGGTACTAATCATTCTCTACACGTAACGACTTTTGAACCTAATCCTATTTTTGTAGACCAAAAGTATCTTTTTAATAAACTTTAAATCAATTGTATTTTTTTATTAAAAAAATAAAATTTTGGGTGGCCAATCATACCCTAAAACAAAAAAAGATTGGTGGTGACTCTTCGTATTTTGACGATTTAAAATTTTTACATCTAATGATTGAATTTTTGAATCTATATGTTATGAGAGTTTGGCTATCCCACTGGAGACATTTTAAAAGTCAGGCCAAAAATTTTAATCATGTACCATCGAAAGTTTTGGATTTAATTGATTTTTGTTGATATTTAATTTAATTTCCTTTATTTTAATTTTTAAAAAAAATTAAATTGCATTTTAGTTATTATTTTGTTTTGATTTTTTATTTGTAATTTATTTATGTTGTTTTGATTGATAAACTGCTTTACACATTATCATAACGTATAGATCTGTAAACCTACCGCTTGACATGGATTAGAGGAGTTGTCACCAATCTTTTTTGTTTAGGTGTGATTGGCCACCTAATCGAATCTGTCTCATTTAAAGATGAGTTTTAGATGGACTTAAGTATCTTTAAATAGTAGATTTTGATCTACGAATTCAGATTTTAGGCTCGAAAGTGCGATTACACATGAGAAAGTTATAGCATCCTCACAATGCCCATCCATTGGATGGTACCAGTTTGATTCCAAATTATCCAAGCCTTAAATGTATTTGTAATTTACCAAAATATTTAATATTAAAAATTAATCCTAAAATTACCCTAATAATTTGGTAGTAATTTAAAATAATTCTCTCACCTTAGGAGCATTCATCGAGACTAATACCCCACTCTAAAGAGGTTTCGTCATTGGACTTATTAATATATTTTATTCAAAAAAATTAGTAAAGTCCTCCAATAGTTTGATAGCATTTACTTTAAGGCAAATCTTCCAATAGTTTGGTGAGATTTTATTTAAAAATATTTATAAAATTTATTCTTTTGAAAAAGTTCATTAAATCTCTCAATAGTTTAGTATGGCTTAATTTATGAAGCAATCCTCTATTAGTTTGGAGGATAAAAATTATTTTATTTTCTTGAAACTCATTTATAGAATTTCTCAATAGTTTGGTGGATTCTATTTAAAATTAAATTCATGAAAATTTATTTGAAAAGATTTCTTTTTTTAAAAATTTATTTATTACTTTTTTTATTTTTTTTGAAATAAAAATAGAAATTTATAAAATATTTAACAAATAACAAATTGCTTAGTAAAAAAAATAGATAATAAAAGTTAGTAAAATAAAAAACTAAAAATAAAATAATAAATAAATAAAATTTAAACTATAAAACTAATAAAAAAATAAAATCAAAAAATAAAAATAAAATGAAAAAGAGAAAACCTGCATTTCGATCTGATTAGAGCACAGATTGGCATGCGGGTCAACCGGTCACGCACAGATCTGGGACTCTCAAAACGCTATTGTTTCGAGTTGCTATAAAAGCCAACCTTCCCTCTTTTTTCTTAAAAGCTCTCTATTTTCTCTCTCATTTTCTAACCCAAAAATTCTTTGACTTCTCTCTAGAATAACCTAGAAATTCAATCGAAAATTGGAAATCTTCGTCAGTTTCTAGAAAATTCAAACCTCACCATAAAATTGAACCAAAAAATTCAAAGTTTATCCCAAAAACCTAGTTTTTCCAAAAAAATCTAAAAAATTCCAAGATTTTTCCCAATTTTTCTAGATCCTTTTAAAAAAGTCTCAGAATTTTAATCTTAACCCTAGAAATCCAAAACCAAATCCAGAATTCCTAAAAAATTTAAAATCAAAACCCTAGAACTCTATTATCTAGAACCTTCTTTTGGAGTTGCACAACTAGATTTTTCACCAATTCCTCCCCGTGTTCCAAAAATCAATAGTGTCTTGTTCAATTGTCTTGTATTCAACTTATAGGCATCCTTAACATAGATTTTAGGGAT